GTTTTTCTCTCTTTGATGTCTTGTTGTTCAGTAAATCTTGTTTTTTTAGAAGAGTTTGACTGATGTGTTTCATTACTGCAGATGACATATTAGATTCTCGCTACTTTCTGAGCAACACTTTTCACAAACAGACTAATAAAATAAGATGAACCAGTTATTGTTTACTCAGATTTAAATATGCATGCTTTTTTCTGTTTATCAGGTCTTTGTGCATCTTGTTCTAGAAGGTGTTTAGACTTGGACTGAACTGGTTTGAGGAAACTACTGAAGAAACGTTGAGAATCCTGAAACGACTGATCTGAGCATTTAATTACAAAAATGAATCTACTTGACTTTAATGAACAAACTTGAGATGTGGCGGTGGCCTCATCATCTATGCGATGCGGTGGCACAAAGTAAATTGAGTATATTTCATTGACATTAGAGGCTTCGTGCTTCAGGTAAAGACAGGGCGTGTAGTTATTTATTGTGATCTTTCTCGTTTCTCACCAGTAGGGGTCACCATCGACACACTCATTCTACCTTAACTAAAGGAGAGGTTTGTTTACTTGCTGGATAATATCATACAGAACTAACACAATAATCTGGATTATACTCTGGAGACATTTCTGTCTCACATCCACAAAAAGGAGCACAAATGAGTTTGGCAGGATGCAATCATCTTTTTAGATCTACTAACCAGAGCCAGACTGGCCACAGACTCGCACGTTAAACCTTGTATCACAGAAGCAGCGTGGTCCCACTTTTTAATCAATCACAGATCATTTTGAAAGGTATAAAAACTGCACACACTTCACACTCCAAGCAAAAATTCTATTACACTGTCCCTTGAATTAGATTGTCATGTTTGCTCTGTTTGTGTCCTATGTACCTAAAAACAAGCGTTTGAAGCAGTTTCCTGATACCAGATGAGAACATAAACCCAGTTAAATTATACTTTCAATGCTGATTACAAGAAAAGGTTTTAAATCTGTCCACTTAAAGGAAGAGTCTGAAGAGAGGAAGCTTGATGCTACTTGGTGCATGTCAGGATCGTTGTTTTCTCAGGACAGCTCTGTTGTTGAGCACTTTTGTCTGAACAGCTTGATGTTTTTTCCACGTTTAATCAACACTTCTCACAAATGTCTGCTTTGATTCCAGCACACTGAACGCAAACCGAGTCCCATTTCCAATTACACCATTCTGCTCGTTTTCGAGGATGAAGGATGGTTTGTCCCTCGGCCTACAGAGGAAAATGTGATCAAAGCCTCCCACCGGCTCCCGTTTTCTGGGTTTTCTGGCATGTTTTAAATCATGTTTTGCACAAGAACAGCAAAGCGAGCATGTGTTTTGTTTTGCGTGGGGAAGGTAGGGAATTATTTAACCCAGGGTGCCTCATAGTAATGAGTCATTCACTCTGAGATGCTTGAACTTTTGCAAGTCACTCTCTGCAAGTCCGACGCTGAGGGAGAAAAGAAAATTCTCACAGCAGCAGGAAATCTCCCCAGATCAGCCCCAGTGGCTTAGCAGGAGACACACTTTTGTCTTCCTCGTTCCTTTGTCTCTCCTCTCCCTCCTCCCTGCTGTAGCTTTGCTACGGGTGACTCATCCACCCCCCCACCCTCCTCTTTTTCACCCTCCCTCTCACTTCAGCTGATTTTTTGCACCCGCCCCTTTCTGATAACAGAGCGTGATCTCTCCTCACTTTTGGAGCTCACCCACACATTTCCCTGATGGCTTCAGTTCTCTCCTTTACCTGGTTTTAACACAGCAGCACACAACTATTCAAACACCTTTCCATCCTCTCTATTTTTTACATAAAAGACATAAATATTTAGTGTGTAGTAAATTCTGTGGATGTAAGTTAGCAATAGAGATGAGGCAGTTTCATGGTGAGCGCCCCTCAGACAGATTCAGTTACCGGCGTCCCACTTCGTCACCATAGAGGATGTGTGTGTAACACCGTTATGTCGACCAGGTTCTCCTGAAGGTGGCTGTTTAATGAAGCATAAAGGCTTCCACGGGTGTATCGATTGTATTTAGTCTCCAATTATGTCCTTCTATGTTCACCTTCTTACTGAGTGAGTTCAGAGCCTGTTTACTGTTGCATCACAGTTTAATGTGCCGATGAATTGCTGCATCAATTCTGAGCAAATTAAGAGTTGGCCTCGAACTACTTTACCTCCTAGCACAGTCAGGCTCAAAACATTATGTCACCAGGCTGTGACTGTTAGTGATTAATGGTGAATGGCATTCCCAAGGAAGTTCCCAGAAGGTCTTGAAACATTTACTATGATTTTCAGTTTTCCCACCTGAGTTGCAGGAGCTTGGTCTCATGCTGCTGACGTTTTTGACAACTTAAAAAAAAGAGTTTGAGGGTTGTTGCAGGTGTCTGGAACCCTTCTCACTGAGATGGAACGTGCCAGAAATGTTAAAGGGCACAGGGAGGGGTTTAGCCTAGAAATCAAGACAGAGCAGAAGGCAATAGGATTTCACGCAGGTCAGTCCAGCCATGCTCCATTAGAGCCTCGGCGGACCCGACTACTCTTGTGTCTTGCCAATCACATTGTATCATGCTCTATTGGCTTGGCGGACCAATCACAATGCTCTGTTGACTTGGCGGGCCAATCATATTGCTCTATTGGTTTGGTAGGCCAATCACAATGCTCTATTGGTTTGATGGGCCAATCACAATGCTCTATTGGTTTGGCGGACCAATCACAATGCTCTATTGGCTTGGCGGGCCAATCATATTGCTCTATTGGTTTGGTAGGCCAATCACAATGCTCTATTGGCTTGGCGGGCCAACCATATTGCTCTATTGGTTTGGCGGACCAATCACAATGCTCTATTGGCTTGGCGGGCCAATCATATTGCTCTATTGGTTTGGTAGGCCAATCACAATGCTCTATTGGTTTGGTAGGCCAATCACAACAAGTAGTGCTCGCTGCAGAACCACAAAGGCGGAGCGGCACCGGAGTCAGCCCCGCCCATTCCATCAGAGTCAATCCAATTCCTTCCATTTGTCATACTTGATAGCATTCTGGAACCAAAGAGGGTGTTATAGCTAATATCATCTAAAATGCAAGATTGAGGACGGAGTTGAGAGGTTAATTGAACCGTTTTTGCAAAGGTTTCATATAATTAAAAATCTAACTTTTGGATCCTTTTACCATGTGCTCCTCCCTCCCTCCTGCGGATACAGCTGGCTGAGCGCTACACATGGCTGCTCGCCCTGGGAAAACAGGATCCCAGCAGGACCGTGGGATAGTGGGCGGGATGATGCAACAAAGATGGCAGCAGCTCTTTTTGAAACTGCTTGGGCATCAACTTTGGACTATTTAGACCTTTCTTTGAGCCAAGAGCAGATAGAGGAACTTAAGTTGATTATTTAGAAAGAGGATTTGTTTGCGTCTGCTTCAACAAAGTATGGCAGACTGCCCTGTTGACTGACATCTGTAGCAAAGAGTACATCACATAGTTAGCTGTCTTATTCAGAGAAGATTTGAAAAACAACCATAGATTCCACCCTACAACTGAGCTCTGTCTATGGGTCATGGCCAGACTTTGTATTCACATAAATAGAATGGCATACCGAGCTAGGAGGGGGTTCGCTTTCACATAAAATTAGGATAAAAGGTTTGCAATGTTGTTTTTGGAGCCATGAAGCACACAGCTTCCTACTCTTCCAAGAGCAGTGGTGCTCCTCTCGCATCCAAACGCACTCACAGAAAACCGTCAGTCCTCACAACTGCAGCTCCACCCAGTCCGAGCTGCAGTCAGAGGAAATGTCTAAACTACAGCATCCAGATTGTCAGTGAATCGCTCATGCAGGAAGCCACTGCTGGCTGATTCTACCCACGCCAATCAGAGGCTTCCACTAGTAGGTAGGCGTGAGAGTGACATAACTTCATCCGGCCATCGGTCCACAGGTGGGTGGGTGTGGTCGGCTCAACGAGAAACAAACCACTGGGAAGCAGGGTTGGAAAAGCTGACGGATCCACACAAACAACGCCAATCTGAATGACCCCACCCGACCCAGACCCAGCTGTAAACGGGCCACATGGAGAGACTTTGTGACTAAATTGGGATGAGGAAATCTTTGTAACATTTGCACACACGTCTCAGCGTTTATGCAACGGTATCATCAGTTCAGACTGAATCCAACCTCTTTCCCTATTGTCTTCGATTTTAAAACATAATTATAAAGATTATCAGACAAGTCACTAATAAATAAAAACAAGTATTTATTTTCATAGTAGCAGACAGCGAGTGTAATAATGTGACGAAATTCACACTTTTATCAGCCAAACTGAGAACTCACCCTTACGTCTAACAGTCTCCAACTCCCACAGCCCACCTTAGGGATGGATTAGCTTTTGTGTTTGGTACAAGTAATTATAAATCAGTGTAGCTCGATAATGCTCTTTATGATAGTGTTTGATGGTGTCTTTGTTCTAGTTGAATCTATGTTCTAAGTAACTTTTACCAGCGTAATTGCCACACGGCGGCCATTATTGACATGTGACTAAATCTGGGCTCATTAAGGCAGTCGGAGGAGGATGTGGGTTTAAAACTCCTTCATCTCAGAGAGCCGCGGCAGCAATAAGCCTCCACGGATTCACAGCATGTTAATCAATAGGACTCTGATGTTTCCCAGAGATTCTCAGATGGAGGAAACTGATTCTTCTGTTTTCTGTGGGTCATTCGTGACTTCTTGTCTTTCCTCTGATGGCAGCCTGCCATCGCCCTTGACAGCTGTCCAACAAAACAAGCTGCCGTCTTCTTCCAAGGCCTGTGATTCATGTTTTTTCCTCCTTTTTTTTGTCCACTTCACACACCCTCTCCTTCTGCCTTATTCTTCACTTTCTATTTTTCCTCTGGTTTCTAATCACATCAACCACTGCTTTGTTGCTCTTCTCTCTGGCAAAGCTACACTTTCTTTGCTGTTTTATTATCTTGTGAATTCATTAGTATAATAAATGTCCAAATGGCATTGACTGTTTGTTTTTGTTCTGTAGGAGGAGTTGCGGGAGCTGAGGGAGCTGCCCATCGACCCCCAGGCAGAGCAGGAAATCATCGACAGCATTGAGGAGGTCTACTTCTCCAGCGACTCCTTCGATATGGTGCAGCATGAGCTGGAGGTCAGAACCTGTGTTAGAACATGAATGAGCCATACTCACTTTAAAACCGTGACAAAGAGACGTTCCCACGCTTCTTCTCTATAAGAATGATTTAATCAAACCCACCACATTTCACCGACGTTGCATTTGAAATGAGAATGCATATGGCCTATTGTTGGATGAGCCTCGTCTGACTGGCAGGAATAAAGCTTTTTCTCACCTGAGCTGCTGTCTCTAACTCTTCTGCTGAGCTGCATGCAGATCATTGAGCTTGGGATTGATGGATTGCATCTGCTCAACACAAGAAAGGTGTGAAATCTCATTAGATTTATCTCAGTGTTGCTACACCTTCTGAAATGAGCCTCTCAGTCAAGAGGAAAGTAATTACCTATCATCCTTTGGGCCATGGATTCATAATATCAGTTTGGTGGAGTTTGTTTACTGTTTACTAAATAAGATTCTCTACTTTCACCTCTAATTTAACTCGTGCTTCAACAAAGTGCATCTGCCAAGTTATTTCTGTTGGCTTTTTTTTTTATCATTATTATGACTTGATGAGCTACAACCTTAGGTCAAAAATAGCCCAACTTCTTTCAAATCTTTGGATGTATTTGAGAAATGAAGACTCTTAGCAGTGAAAATTTGCTCTTTTGAGATAAACAAAATTCCCGCTGACATCACCAGCACCAGAACTTTGACTCCACAACAGTTCTGGGCTTAATCCCAGGTCTTTCACACAGTTCAGTGCTGGAAAGCAACATTGAGAAGGCTTGCATTCAGTGTTCACTGATCCAGATGTGAAGTTGTGTGTTTGCTTCTTTTGTGTGTGACGGCAGAAACTCCCACCTGAGCTGAACCTGCAGGAGCTGGAGGAGTACAGAGACACGCTGAAGAAACAACAGGATGCCGTAAGTCATCTTGGACACACACACGCACGCGCACGCGCACGCACACGCACACGCACACACACACACACACACACACACACACACACGCACACGCACACACACACACACGGTCGAGGACAGTCTACACTACTGTCACGACTGAGATAATAAAAAAACAACGCTCTCAGGAGCCAGTCCTTGGAACAGAGAGGGCTGCCGTCTGTGGCGAACAGTTGGGCAAGTTACTTCAAAACTGTAATGCAATATTTATCACTTGTTACCCTCATTTTAAACTAATTCATTACATTACAATATTACTGATTTTAAAATGTAAGGCATTACACTACTTTTGCATTACTTTAAGTTACTTTCACCAAAACAACTTCAGTATGAATCTGGTAATGTGACGCTCAGTGAGCTCATGACATATATGTGGAAGGTGATGTGGTGTCTGAGCTAGGATTGCTGTTATAAACAGTCAGATATAATAACAGTGCTTTAAAATGATTGTTTATTAAACAAAAGCAACAACAATCTGTACTCTCAACACGCTGCCATCTTATATTAACTGAGCAGGGAGTGAGGTGGTGGGGGCTCCAAGCCTATATTTGCCTTGGTCCCCAATTGCCTTGATACGGCCCTGGATGTGGGACTGACTTCTGGGGTGATCTGATTCTATCACATGTATAAATATTAAATGCTTATATATTATTGCTTTTCACTGGTAAAAATGTGTGTTGGGGATAAATCTACCTACCTACCCCCATTTTATTTGAATAATTTCCTGACCTTTCTCTCTCTAACCTTCCTGCATGCTGCATGTTTTCTCTGTCTTCCAGAAAAACTGTTTCCTAGATTTCCTACTTTCTAACTAATCAGCCAAAGGGATCTACCGAACGCAAAAAAATAAAATAAATAAAAGCTTTATATGCGCTGCGCTCCAGCAGCAATCAGTTGAAATCACCGGGGCACAGATTATGAACTCAGCTGAAAAGTACATGAAGTACCAGAGAATATGGGCTGATATAAATGATCACAAACGAATTACTTTGTTTTGGTGGAGTGATTTTGTGAATATAACAGCGGCCGCGCGCAGGACGTAGCTGGAGTATTTGAGCCATCACCGCTGCATCCTCTCTGCTCATAGAATGCCCGCAAAGCTGAGTCCATAAATGATGTCATATATGTGGATACTGGATCTTTTTTCAGGCTTCCCGCAATTAGAATTTTTAGGAAACCCACATCTTGATTCTGGGTTCAAAAATGCATTGTAGTTACCGCGTTACTGACAATTGTACCGAGTAAATATTACCATTTTCTTTCCCTGTAATGCCTTACATTACCAGATTACAGCAAAAAGCAATGCATTACAGTAATTAATTACTTTTGTACCGCGCTACTCCCAACACTGGTGGCGAAGCACAAGCCATGGAAACCCTTTGCCGACCTTAGTGAATCATTGAGTGAACGTCAGTCTAACTTCACCGTGGTGATGTTTTGGTCATCCTACGTTAACGTTAGGCTAGTTTTCGAAGGCTTCAACTTAAAATGCATTCAACTTAAAGGAACTTTTTGGACTTTTTAATTTTTATGCTTGCGATTGCCCCCTCAGGCCAAAAGCGTAATGGCAGCTTCAATAGTAGGCTCGTGCACGAGGCGCGTATGCTGTACGTGCACACTCCTTGACGAAAATAACAGCTGAGACAGTCCTGTGTGTGTGTGTGTGTGTGTGTGTGTGTGTGTGTGTGTGTGTGTGTGTGTGTGTGTGTGTGTGGCCCGGAGGACAGAGGACAGGAGAACGCGCAGCTAATTAATTAAATAATTTGGTTCTGTACCTTTCTCTTCAGCACAGCCGACAAAGGTTTAAGATGGGTCAGCTTCACAGAGCTTTCCTTCCCTTGCTTGAAAAATTGTTCCAAAATGAAAGTTGAACCCACATCTTTTTATCTGTGAATTCAATGCTGTTCGGCAAGTCTCAAATAAAAATTTGGGCATCTTACAGTAAAAAAATATACCATTAATTTAAAAAGAAACTCTTAATAAACTATATTCACATCCAGAATCGAACCCAGGTCTTCTGCATGAGAGTCAGACATCTTACAAGGTGAGCTACACACCAGTAACATTCATAGTATCTGTAACTTTTATATCCTTGATGACCGAACCAAAGAACCAAAGGACGGTTCGGAGCGAAAATGGCTATTTTGCTGCTAATTTGCAGGAAATATCTAGAAGAAAGTAGCTAAGGGTCCTCAGAAATGTAGCTAGGTTCATCACTAGGCGTTAGGAACAGTGACAATGTGGCGCTGCCTCTCTCTCTGCTGCTAAAGCTACTGATAGCAAATGCTACGGGCTATGCCTGAGCGTGAACGCGCATGAAGCAGCCTGCTCGACCCGAGCAACTCTCTTTTTCTGTGATTTTACAGAAAAACAGGCAAAATGCCAGGGCTCATTCTACAGGACCAGGGCATTGCAGGAGAATGTATGAAGAAGAAATTTATTATTTCTATACATGTTTTGGCTGTCAAACTTCCATAACGTCCCTTTAACCTTCTTTAGGCACCTTTCTTTCACCTTTTCTCTCTCTCTACCTCAGACTGTTTAGTTTCCTTTCACTCCTGAGAGCAGAGCACCGCAGCTTCTCAGCCAGACAGGCAGGAGCCGGCAGTGTTGGTATTTTAAAATAAAGGAAATTTTAATGCTTTCATATTTAAAATAATTCCATACTTAATTATGGTTAGTAAAAGTGTGCAAATATAGGCTTTATATACATGATGCTTTATATTGTTTCAACAAATATTTAAAGACAAACAAAAAAAAAATATTCTCAAGGTGTGGCAGTTTTATTTTGCTGCAGTGGTGCACTACGATCATTTACATGGATACGGTGAAACCCTCTGCTGGTTCCATTCATCCCTGCTGACGATTCTTTAATGATTAGAAAACATTCGATTCGATACAATTCATGATGCGATTTGAAAAAATTCAACACATTTCAAAGAATTTATAAACCTGCATCTAGTTTCTAAACAATCACAAATATTGTTTTCTCTCTGTGAAGGATGTGCCTTCTCAGTGGCCTAGTGGTGGTGTCCGCCCTGGGACTGGGAGATCGGGGTTCCAAGCCTGGTCGGGTCATACCAGAGGCTTTAAAAATGGGACCCAATGCCTCCCTACAGCTTTAAGTTTGGGGGGTTAAACCACCAAATAGTTCCTGAGCGTGGCCACAGCTGCAGCTTGTCATGTTCTGTGTCCCTTTGTTCCCCAGCCCCTCCAGGTCCCACTCCAGGTTTTCCTCTTGTGTCCCATTATTCTCCTCAGCCCTCACCCCTCTAGTTATTGGTTGTTTATATTGGCCCTCAGTCCCTAAGTTTAGTTATCCGTGTTTTATAGTTTTAGGTTTATCTGCCCTCCTCTGGTTTTGTTCCCCATTTAGATAATTGTATGCACCTGCTTTCCAGCCTTCACTCCACACACCTGCTGCCTGTTTCCCTAATTGCTCCTCTCTGTGTATATAAGCCTTGTCTCGTCCTTCAGTGTTTGATGGTCCATTGTATGTGTCTGTGCTGTTCTGTTCCCTCCCCGTGTTTTTTGCCTGAGTCCTTGCTCCTGTTTCTGAACTTCAGTTTTTGTGTTTTAACCTCTGGATTAAGCCTCCACCTTAATAATAAAGAATTTACTTCTTTCAGAATCAGAATCAGAAAGATTTATTGCCAGCGCTCCAGCGAACCAGAGCATAGGAACTTGACTCCGCAGCACAGCCTGACCAAGGTTACACACACACACATGTAGACAGAACAGATACAGGCAGACCACGAGAGCAGCCATAACGGCGCTCATTTCAATTAGATGAAAAGGGGATTACATGAGGATAAATTGGGGGAGGGAGAAAAAGGCATACCAGAGTTACTCCCGGCAGGGCGTAGCTTCACTATGCAAAAAAATGCCTCAAACATATAAGCACGAACATCAACAGTTCACAACATGAGACACCGAGAGGAAGGCGGCGGGGGGGGGGGGGGGGGGGGGGGGGGGGCTGGGATCCTGTTTCCCCAGCGAGAGCAGCCCTGTATGGCGCTCATCCACTGTAGCCACAGGTGGGAGGGAGATCGTGGGAGGAGCGCGGAGCACATTGACACCTGCAGGTTGATGACCTCGCCAGGCTGAAGTCCACCAATCCGAAGGCTGGGGGGGGGTAGGTCGGGTTTTCACAGCATCTGTCTGCGCTCCTTCGTGGGGGTTTAGTTGTTGGCATTCACAAGGCTGCCATGGCGTCAGATTCGGATAACAAGACTTTGTTTGGGTCAGGCAGAGGTAATTTTCCTCTCTGCCTTGAAGTCTGTAACTGATCATTCAAGTCCTCCAGTGAAGCCAATTCAGGTTTTAAACATCTCCACACCGTCCGGTGACCCTCTCCAAGATGACATCCATTTTGCGCTCCACCTGATCTCGCCGCATCCAGCGGAGGTCGCACCGTGCCCAGTTCCAGTGGTGGTCCCGGAGGTCGCACGGTGTCTCGTCCATGGCCTAATTTTACACTCTAATAACTTTTTCTGTTAATGGTGCATTCACTGTAATGAAAAGGGAATTTTCATCTTTAGGCTCTTAAAAAACTAGAGTGACAACAAAACATCTCGAGTGAGAATAATAAATAAAACTAATGGTTGCGTATTGCCTTATGCTATAAAAGTTAATGTTCACTTTTATTGAGCATCAACACAATGATTTAATTAACCTAAAGAGGAGAAATCATTGTCGAGTTGAGCTGAGTTCTGCACCTGACCTGCTCAGTAAGTATGTCCCCATTTAACAGTTACTTATCACATTAATGTAAACAACTAACAGCTGTCAGAAGATCTACTGAGTCACAATGTTCCAACAAATGATATTGTATAAATTTTCTCCAGAGCTAAGTGTGACTCATTCAGGTCTTTGTCCTTCCACAGATGACACATTGATTGTTAGTCTCCGTGTCCTAGAACAGAAGAACCACCATTAAAGTGGAGGTTCACCGAGAAACC